TCTAGAACTCCTTTTCCTGTCCTTCTGCCTCCAGCTTGCTTTCCCCACACGTGCTCGTCCGTCGGGCCGACTCCAGCCCGACTTGCTTGTTTGTTTGTGTTTGTCTGTCGGTCTGTCGGCCATACTCAGGACGGTGAAATCAACAGATCATCTCACCCCAATTCCACTCTGCTAATGGGTCGCGCGCATCTCGGACTACTCTGATCATGGTCGGTATCCCTTTGCGGTCTCCAATCTCTCACGGTCTATGCTAACCCCGTGCGATCCCCCCTCAGGTCACACCCAACGCTCCCTTTCGGCCCTCGCCGTTATCGTTCGGCTCGCCTCGTGCTTCTCCCTTCCGTCGACCCTCCACTCCCAACTCGCCTCCCTCGCAGGGTCGTCCAGTGACCCCGGGCAGCTCTCCCGGCCGATATACTCCCGTCCAGTCTCCCAGCAAACTCAATCAGTCATACACCGTCGAGAACGAAGATGTGTCGCCCCGTAACAGAGACCCGATCCCGCAGCCGCGGTTTTCTCGCGAACCGCCCTCGTCACCCACGAGGGGAGCGAACTCCCCCGATACGTCGCCGCTCATAGGTACCAAGACGACCAACATGATGGCCGCCTCGTCCGATGCGGCGGCCCAGCTGACCCCGGCGCAATTACGAGAGATCCGCGAGGCGTTCCAGGTCCTCGACCGCGACAACGACGGTTCGGTGGATAAGGAGGATGTGGCTGATGTGTTGGTTAACATCGGTGAGAATGACCTTTCTGAGAGGTCAGGTGCATCGCCGAAATGGCCGCTAATGGGACAATGATCATGCAGGCCAGGACACTTCGATGACATCCCGATTCTTCCCCCCCGGAGGACCCCAAACGATCAATTTCCCCACGTTCTTGAACATTCTATCGAGCCTACTCGCCCCCCTCTCGTCCCGACAGGAATTACTGAATGGACTGGCTGCCTTTGACGAAGACGACAGCGGCCAGATCGACGTCGCGGAGCTACGGGATGCGCTTCTCCACACGGCCCCGGAGGCAGGGGAAGTACCTTTGACCGAACGCGAAATCAACGAGGTTCTCAATGGATTCACCGGTCGCCGAGTCTTCGGGCAGAAGAGTGGACCGATGGGAGGCAAGCGAGGGGAGGTATTTCGGTACCAGGAATTTGTTGACGGCGTGATGGGAGGGACCGAGAATGCCCGACGAGAGACATGAACGAGCCATGATGATGATTGAATTGGGCATCTGGCGTTTAACGGACGGATTAAGGTTCTCGTTTATAGGTTATAGGTTATAGTTGATAGTTTACAGTCCATAGTTCATACCGGAGAGACATCCTTCTATGCTCCTGTCTACACTCTACAGAGTACACTCTCCAGGATACACTAGGGATACCCCTCTAGTGCCCGCCGAGTCATTCTTTGGCTGGTCTCCGAGCGGATCCACCGATTGGCCGGTGAAGGAAAGAAACTATTGAAAATCGGCTCCATGCCGTCGCCATAACCATAGCAACTACAAGCTAAAGAATCCCATTCTCCTTAATACAAATTAACTGCAGTTGCCTGCAGCGCGTCGCGTGTCCCCGCATATCCACCTGCGAGAAAACGACAGACTAAAACAGAAAAAAGAAAAAGAAAAAAGAGAGGGAAAGGGAAAAAAAAAAAGGACTTCGACACTTCGACACGACCGTGAAAGGGAACAACCCGCAGGGAAAAAAAGGAGAGACCCAACTAGCCGAAACAACCCTCCTTCCTCCTTACTCCGTGCGTGCTTGAGGATTCATGAATCCCTCGCCTGGTCTGCGTTGACCCGCTTCTGTTTCTCCTTGAAATCCAAACGGACCAGGAAGATGGTTGGTTCTTGTGGCAGGTTCATGCAGGCATAAATCTCGACGACGCCAGCCCCAACTCAACATGTCTCCATCATCATCATCCTCCCCCCATCCCACGCAGGCCCAGCTGAATCTCGCCGCGCTGGCGGGGTCACCTTCGCCACGAACGATGCGAACTCTCCGAAAGATTCAGTCCCACCAGGTCCTCTCCTCGAATTCTTCGTTTGGTGCTCCGACCTCTCAAGCGTCGTCAACCGGGCGCTCATCCGTCGGTCCCGACGACCTCCTACCCCAGCCAGCCGCTCATCTCGACTCGCCGGTACGACTACGGACCCATCGTCGTGCAAGATCCAATAGCGATGCCAGCACTCGTGACCCTCCGGCTATAGCAACGCAAAGACGACCAGGCAGGAAAACCGGTTCGGGGTTTGGCCTGAAGAGATCGGCACTGGAGACGCTGTTGCGCGACGGGCCTCAGCAAGGAAACATTCGGGAGGGACTGCAGGAGTTGAGGTATCTGGTCTTGTCTACGAGAGTAGAAGCAGATGGCGATGGCATGGTATGAAGATGACATCAACGTTCCCTCTTATCCAAAGACAAAAAGGAGAAGAGTCCTCGCTCTCGAAACTAACCGTCCGACAGTCAACCTACCGAGTCTACCTTTGGTTGGCCCTGCTCGAAATCACCCCCGTCCCGACCGACGAATACCTCTCTCTCATCCATCGAGGTCGATCCCCAGCCTATACGAAAATCCGCAATGATACCTTTCGGACCCTGGCCACCGATCCGCTCTTTAAACGCCGCGTCACCGAAGCCAGTCTGATCCGACTCCTCAACGCCGTCGCATGGAAGCTCCATGACGTCAAGAATCGACATCGATACAAGTCCCGACCGTCGTCGCGACGACGCGAAATGGAGCTCTTGATCAACACACCCCCGAGCATCGCGGAAGAAGACACCGACCCAACTCTTTCCACGCCCAGTAGTAGAGGCAGCTATGTCACCAGCGATTCGGCGATCTACGTGCAGGGCATGAACGTGCTCTGCGCGCCCTTTCTTTACGCCGCCCGCAGCGAAGTCGAGGCCTTCGCCCTATTCCACTCCTTTGTCACTCGCGAATGTCCCGGTTACATCCGCGGCGCCATGGACGGCGTTCATCGCGGTCTACTCCTAGTCGACCGATGTCTGGAAATCGTTGAGCCCAAGTTGGCCGCTTATCTGTTCTCCAAGGGCATGCAGGCCAAACTCTACGCGTTCCCATCCGTCTTAACGCTTTGTGCCTGCACACCTCCCCTACCGGAGGTCCTTCATCTTTGGGATTTTCTCTTTGCGTACGGGCCTCATTTGAATATCCTCTGTATCGTGGCCCAACTTATCCGGATGAGGGATACCATCTTGGAAAACCCAAGGTATGTTATTATTTCCCCTCTTCTTTCCCCCTCTGGGCAAACCCCTCCAGCCACGAGCTACTAGTTCAAAAAGCAAGAACAAGAAGTCAAAAGTCAAAAGTCAAAGTCAAATTGGACACGTCAAATCCACGCATCACAAACTGACCCATCATGTTTTCGCTTGATTCTCCACAGCCCCAACAAAATCCTCCGATCCTTTCCTCCCCTCGACGCCAAAGAAATCATCGCCTTGACCGTCCTGATCGTCCGAAAGATTCCGGAACCATTATATGCCGAACTGATCGACCATGCTAAATAGTTCGTGTCGTGGACCCTACTACAGTGCTCAGCTCAGCCTCAGCCCGGTCTCGCCCAGCCCAGCCAGCTGGACTCAGCTGGATTCAGCTCGTCTGGCCACGCCTCGACTCGGTCCCGCTCCTCTCCCTCTCCCTCGCTGTCTACCTCACTCTATACCCATTTCCCTCTCCTTCTCCTCCCTCTACCTCTACCTCTATAATCGCCTTTTCTCCGAACTACTCCTCCCTAAGACCTTGACCAAATTCACAGAAAGAAGTGATTATTCTACGTGTACGATGTATGGATATTGATATTTAGCAGATTGCAAGCAAGAGTTTCTTCATCCCTCCTTTTTCTTTTTTTTTTTTTTTTTTTTTTTTACTTCTTCCTTACTGGGATTGATACGATATGATTTGATTATCTTTTATTCATTTCTATTCATGAAACCTTGCTCTGCTTGAACTCTTAATGTGGCGTTTTTTCTTGCATTTTTCTTCGTTATTTTTTTGCTATTTACCCTGCCCTGCCCTGCCTTGCCCTGCCTGCTCTTATGCATGATGTACTATTTATTGATTTACCTTACCCTTACCCTTTCCATACCTACCTAGGTAACTAACTACCTAGGTACATACTTTTTACTAACGGGCTGACACTGACTGACTGATTGATTGATTGATTGATGGATGAATGACCGCATTTATGAAAGATGAAATTGAAAGATTTGATGCGCTGAAGAATCAGAAGAGAGCGAGATCGAAGTGGGATGGTTTGTCGTTCTTGCCTTGTCTTGCCTTGCTCTATGTATTTGTATCTTTACGTTTGTTATTGACGTTGATGTTGATGTTTATGGTCATGTCGATTCGGTAGATGATTGATGAATTCTATGATGATGTGCTTTATTATCTCTTCCCTCTTCCCCCTTTTCTTCGTTTCTTCGTTTCTTCGTTTCTTTTGAAATTTGTAATTTTTAATTCTAGTTATCCGTTTACCCTGAATTAAGGCCAAAGTAAATACCTAGATAAATCTCCCATGTATACTGTATACGGTGGAAGGTACCTAGACTCCCGTCGGTAGGTATAAAGGCAATAAGAATATTAAGCTAAGGTTGGTTGATTGATTGGTCCTTTCTACCTACAAACCTCTATATTCTGATTTTAGCTACATAGGTAAATCCATCCTCCTCGACGCCGCTTTCCCTGACGAGTTAACCATGAGAGGGAATTCAAATGACAAAATATCCATAACAGAAAGGGGAAAGAGGGGAAAAGTCCAACCATGTTTCCGCTCCTCTGATGTTTTATGTCAAAAGATTCAAATCCGGTCCTATTCCTTCCCGTCCATACTCCAGATTTCTCAATTATCCAATGTTGTTGGTGATGCTGTTTCAATCAATGTACTGCACTACTTCTTGCTTTTTCTGATTCCCTCGCCCGGAGGGGAGACAGATCGAGCACTTCACTGAGGTGGAACGGAGGCAAGAAACAAAGGAGAGAGGGAGATCAAGTGGCTACTGCTCTCCTTCCGATCCCTGACCCGTTCACAACCAATGGTTGGCATCGGTCTGCCTTGGGCAAGGATTCCTTTCGCGCTCCAGAGTTAGGGGCAGTCTGGGGAATGACTGGAGAAACCCTCCTCTTGTTTTCTGCAGGGGTCTCCGGTGCGACGGCATGGCGTGCGGTGGTGTCAGGAGTGTTGGAAGGAATGGTAGGGATTTCGAGTCCGTGAGTGGGCCGCGGATGTGTCGGTGGCGGAGGGTTCTGGGAGGCCAAACTATACGCGCCATGGATGCTGCGGCCGATCTTCACGCGGATCTTGGCCCCCATGAAGATGGCATTGTTGTATCGGGCGACGGCGCGCTTGGCCTCGTCGGCGTGATAGAATGTCACCCGCGCAAAGCCCTTGCAGCGGCCCGTCTCGGCGTCTACGGGTAGCTCGCTCTGCTCGATGCTATTGTTGGTGTTAGGGCCCTGGAGGAAGGTCTCCAGATCTGCCTTGGTGGTCGTGGTGCTGAGATTTTGGATGAAGACGGTTTTGCGAAAGGTGGGCTGAGTTGGAGGACCGGACCCTGGTGCCGTTCGACACGGCGCGGGGAAGATAGGCGAGTTGGGGTTGAGGTTGATGTTCCGAGTGGGCATCGCGTGGCTGTACATGGGCTTGTTGGCGGAGCCGTTGTTCATGCGCATGGCATTGATAGAGGCTTCGTGAAGAGGGTGAGGCATTGGGGAGAGCGCGTAGGGCGGGAGAATGGCGAAGGCAAGATTGGGGTCACAGAACGACCGGAGGGCTGGAGAGGGTGGAATTCCGGGGATTGGTTGGGATAGAGGATCTGCGAAGATGGGCAGGAACGGTTGAGGAGGCATCCCCATGGGGCTCATCATCTGCGCTCCGTACTCGGGGCTTTGGTACGTCGGGCTGGTAGACATCACCGGCCTGTTCTTTGTTAGGGTCTAGCTTTGGTTAAAGACGTGTAGAGTACTCACTCTGGGGTCATGGGAGACGGTGGCACGGCCAGGTTCTGGGTGACTCGCGGGGGAGTCGAGTAACCAGCCACATAATTGGGGGGAATCACGCAGGTTGGACTCTTGGTCGGCCCAGCAATTGGACGAGTGGGTGAACTGGTGCGAGCCAACGTGACCACCAGACTCTGTCCCTCCCAGCCGTTGGTGGATAATCTGTCTGAAAGCGCATGGCCTCGTCAGTCTGTATTTTCTTTTGAATTAAAGGGCTACTGCACAACATGACGCACGGTAGGTCCGCCACGCTTCATCTTCATTCTTCACGATGATTTGGCCCAGTCCGGTAGGAAATCCATGATTGTCGTCGTATACCACCGCTTGTCGGATATGTAGCGCAGTCTGCCGCACCATATCCTTAAGCTCTTGCCAACGACAGTGGGCTGGAATCTGTTCTCTCAGTAAGACATGCCATCTCGAAGATTTCGCAAAACGACGGGGGTGGATCAACGGCTTACCCCCTGGAGGAAGAGAACAAACTCCTCTTCTGACCCGCGGGTCTTGGTCATTCGTGTTTTTTGAGGAGCGGGCATGGTGTCGAGAACAGTGTTTCGCCTTCGAGAGTAGGCTTGGTGGACTGGCGTCCAGAGCGTGGTGAGGCGAGGTGGGGAGTTGAGGAGATCACAGCGGTCGACAGATCTACTACCGTCGAAGCTTCAAGAAAAGACTATCGATGAATAGATAGAGTTCCGCGCAAAGGTCTGGACCAACTGAAGATCACGAGCAAGAGGGGGGGAAGGAAAGAAGCGAATAAGAAAGGTAGCGAACGTCGGTCTGTCGAGCAAACCAGATCAGGTATTTGACTAGTCAGTCTATCATATACAGATTCTGCTTCGTCTCTCACGGTTACGACAATGACAGCTGCTGTCTCATGCACGACGGTATACCCGACGGCACATTCGAGAAGGGGAAATTAAATCGCTCGCCTTTTAAACAATGAGGAAGAAGGCGGAACCATCGAAGGAGAAACAAACGAGAGAAGAAAAAGAAGAAGAAGAAGAAAATAAAGATCGAGGTTGAACTCGATGCGAGAGTATCGACGATCGGCTTCGCACTACCCAGTTCCACACAAACGAAGCGAGGTTGGGGAGGAGATTCGTTTGAGCAAAGGCAATAGTGCAACGAGGCCCCGGGAAGATGAAAACGAAGGGACGGCAGCCACTGATGCACCCAGCTGACGAATAATACAACGGGGTTCTGGAGGTGAACAAGTGGACTAGCGAGGACTGGATAGAAATCTGATGCTGGGATGTGTCAATTTGTCCCTAGTCTGATGGATATGATCAGAGTGGGTGCGCAACAGCCTGATATGTCATGCATCAAGATCCTAGTTGGAAGGTAATTGGGAGGATCGTTGAAGGGAAGCAAAGGAAGGGGTGGGAAAAAAGAAAGCAAAGATGACCTACCGTGACCATGCTTTTTTTTTTCGCATTCCCTTTTTCCCCCTCTTTCTTTTCTTTTTTTCTTTTTTCCTTTAAATTTTAATATTTTCGTGTTTTCCCTCTAAGGGGGGTTCCATGGCGTCGAGGAGGCGACAGATCAGAAGCGATTGATAGGCATGTAAAGGTCCGACCCTCACCACCCGACAGAGGGAGAAACGCGGACAGGCATCCAGAGCAGCCAGAAATAGTCAGAGACACTCACAGCCCTCGAGTACGTAACTCTTGGCACGTTCGGGGTTACACCGCCAGATCTCAGGGCAGCCACAGCAGAGGCGAGGGGGGAGAGTCGGGGAGAGGAGACAGAAGGGGAGCTCTTGCCAGATCCGATGGCAAGTGGAGCATCAGCCCTGCGTTGTTCTGGCAGCATCACGGCTGCATTTCCGAAGGGCATTGTATCGGCAGGCGATCAGTCCGGACTGATGGTACTCCGTAGAAGAGGATAAAATAAATAATGATGATAATGAACCGAAAATTGACAATCAAAAATCAAAAAAATCAGAAAATAATCATCAATCCGATCTTCGAATCCGGATAGATCTCATTTATCACGGCGACGGTGATTGGAGGGGATACAAAGCAATCAATAGGAAAGACCCAGCGGATCTTTGCTTATTTCGAGTGGGATGCAAGAGAGGCGAGAGGGATGGATTCATCATCCAGCCGGTTGGATGCATCACGTCTGATAAGCGGCCACTTGCGAGCTCAGCCTCGGATCCTCCGCAGGGGGTTAATCTGGGAATTATTATTAGTATATATCATACGCAGTTATACGGACGCATCCCGGGCTTCCAGATGAGACAGGGGCATCGCGGCAGGGCGAGAAAAAAAGAAAGTAGGACACGGCCACCACGAGAATACAGTACTTACTCATGATAATTAATCATGCTCATTATGATAACTAATTATCGCAATTTGACCAGACGCCCCGTCCAACTCACCTCCATTTGGCGGAACCTGTTTCAGCAGCGGATGATCCTAGCATCGTGCATATGAGCTGTCAACGAGTCAAGGCCGCTGCCCGAGACACCGCCAGAGTGGGCAAAAGATACATCGAAAAGAATGTCGCGCGGCAGATTCGCCGGTGGAGCTTCCCCTCTCTCTGTCTCTCGTCACGAACCCTTTAAAAAAGCGAGGGAAAATGAAGGTATCGGGTATTCCCGAAGGCTCGTTTGATGGTGGCGATGAAGGATCGGACGGGATGGCAATGTGTACTGTGTAGACTGTAGACACTAACATCAATAGTCGATCGACCCTTCCTCCACCGTGCCATGGCTCCGGTAAGCCATGATCATCCGCTAGTTCGAGCTCGATCGGTTGCTTCATCCTGATACTGCAGTGACTACGGTTCCCCCAACGCCATCGTATCTAGACCGGGGATTGCACGACGTTCGTCCACTCTAGACTGGTTCACCGTCTATCTCCTGCCGCTACCAGAGCCTCAGAGTGCTTATTATTACCTACAAGCCGAAAGCACCTGTCAATCAGATAGATCGTCTCCGGTCGGAAGAAATCCCCGGACATTTTCCTGATTCGAGCACGCCTGGGGGAATAGCGTGCAAGGGAGCGCACGAATTGAGATGGCTGGGAATGGGGATCAGATGATAAGAATGAATTCCGTCTACGGAAGACACCAGCGATCAATCCACGCTTGCTCGCATGGCCATATGCATACCACATCATAATCATAATCGTAATCCCATTGACGGTGTAACCTAACAAACAGCGAGGTTATTTCGCTGTTTGACATCAGTCACTGCAGTCATTGCGGTAAATATTTCGTAGACGGTTACTAGTTACTACCCCTTTGCGATCAAATATATCTCTACCCACCTATTAGGTACAGTGTACATACGGTAAAAATCTTCAACAAGAGCCATATAATTACACTTGAAAGACCCAATCAAAAACGAGGCTAAACAAAAACGAAACAAAGATACGCAACCCAATTGCACTCTCCAAACCACTCCAAAGACAGATAAATGTAAGGCACCAAGCCTCAAACGAGCCCGAGACACGCAACCCAAAGAATGCCCACCTGCAAACGACCAAGGCGAATCCACATCCTTACGAGTCCCCAATAAGCTATAATATAAATTAATTAACCGTGAAACCGAATCCAGAGACGGCTAATTTGATCAAATACTTCCCTCAATTTCCCCTTCCTGTTTCATCGGGAGGAATCGAATCTATCAGGCAGCCCATGTGGAGTCCCAAACAGCTGGATGAGATTGAAACCGTCCGTACCTAACCCAGGTCCAACACGAAACGAAGAAAGCCCACCGATCCATGGCTTTGTGCCTCCACAAACTCAAATGATTCATTTCATTTCATTTTCGCTCTCTCTTAGTTTCTTGGATCGTAGAAAAGGGGGAGATAGACTTGATCATGTTACCAGGTTGTTGACGTGGTGGCCAGGTGGCTTTCTTTTCTTTTTCTCGTGTCTTCTCTGTCTATTATTGTTTGGTCACTGTTAGGATGGGCATTCCTTCTACAGTACCTTAAATAGTTAAAGTTTTAATTAATTACCTTGTAGGCAGGCAATCACTTGCGAATGTTTCCTTGACGCCTCTGGCTTGTTAGTGATTTCATGCGCCTGGCCTTCCATTATCTCTTTTCGCCTAGCTAGCTTACAATGATGTGTGCGATCTATAACTGAAGCGGATGGTGGCGATATTGTTCGATGCCCTTCGCCCAAAGTGTCTGACATGGTGGTAGAAGTATATAACACAACGCTGTCGGAGCATCAACGTGTCGATCGTTCAGACGAGACGTTTTGCTTGATTAACGAGGCCTGTATAAATTCGCATGCGTAAATTGAAATTATATCTGCTTTCTATGACAGTTTCAACCACCAGGTCTCAGCTGTCATGTCTGGAATCATTACCACCTTAGTCTCTACTTATCAGGTCAGCTTAACCCCGATGTACGGAGTACGGGAGCTAGCCGTTAATATAGTTCCTTCCTACAGCTACATTTCTTTATGGACAGCTTTAACCCCATGTTGGCAATTAAATGCACTACTTTTCAAGAAAATCTCTCCTTGGTTTTCTCTCCCAAAAAACATTGAGCTGGGTGTCTAGGGAGCCATACAAAAAAGCATTCAAAGCAAACCGAGGCCCTGCCTGTGAAATGATTCAGCTGTCTCAAGCTTACTTAGGTAAACAATGGATCTCTCAAAAGTACGTCAGAAAATAAGAATCCTTCCCACTCACCTCCAGCTTACACTCTCCCCGCACAAACACACCCAAAATGTCAACAGCAGAGCTAGAACCAACACCCACTCCCCCCTCTTTATCCTCAGGCTCAAACTCAGGCTCAGGCGATGCATTCCCCCTCTTTCCTTACCTCCCCCTATAAATCCGCCTGCAAATATGGTCCTTCTCCCTCTCTTCTCCCTCGGTCTTTGAACCCCGCACAGTGCACATCGCCTGCCATCGCGCCGTCCACCCGATTCATCGCCGTCGCTACGGCTGCGCGAAGACGTCCTCTCGTATATCCCGGAGCTGGAGCTGGGTTTGATCGAGAGGATGGTTGTGGATGTCGCGGGCGTGTATTACTTCGGACACTTCTATCTCGAGATTATATGGAGCATGGACAGGCTGAGGATGTTGGAGTTGGTGGTCGAGTTTACGCATAGTGATCGTGTGTCTGCGGGACGAGGGGCTTGAGTGGAGGAGGAGGGGAATGGGGATGAGGATGAGGATGGTGAGGATGAGGAGATCGATGATACAGAGCTAGGGTTTGATGTGAGGGATTGGATGCCTAGAGGAATTAGTGAAGCACAGCGCGAGCGCCTGGAGTGTGAATCGGGCGTGGAGTCGTTGTTGGATGAGTTCATGGAGATGAGGGAGAGTGGTCCAGAGTGGGATTGTCTGGATGTGAATGTTGTTTTGAGAGATTCGAGGGCTGTGGTGGGGGATATAGCGGGGGGAAGGGGAAGCTCGATGGATGAGGATGTGGGTATTTTAGTCTGAGGACAGCACATGTTTTGATCATAGCAAGTATAACTGGTGGGAGATAGCCCCCGAGACTGTCTACCCATCTACCAATTGTCTAACATATTAGCTCTAGGTCCCAGAGTCTTAGCATCA